CTTTAAAGTCCAAGTCTTCACAGTATAAATGAAGACCATTCGTCTCTGCCAGTATAACTCGTAACTTTGAGGCCGCCATACTGTTTATCTTCCTCTAAACTTGTCTAGCTCTAGAGTTGGATCACTAGAATATTACCATTCGCTTTGTCGTCTAATAGTGACGCCAATAGATTGATATACCTACTCGGTCTTTCCCGTCTAACTTGATCTTTGCACTCCCGATAGCGTTGCCGTTAATGCACCACCAACCTACACGACTTAGAAAACGCAATGTGCCCTTAGATATCATAAACCCAGTCTTGTAACTGGCTTCGAAGTTCTAAACAGTGCACAGAATAGTGGACCATTTTGGCTACCAACTATACTACCTAATTTGAGCTTCTTTCCTTTTGTTCGATTCCCGATTATTAAAGGGCCATCGACTTTACACCTTTCACCCAACCTGACTCGTATTCATCATACACTATCGCGTCATGATATTTCCAGACTCCGTATATAGTTAATTCATATGATATGTGTTCATAGCCAAATCGCTTTTTGGCATCCTTATTTAGCCTTACATTGCCTTGCCTACACAGTATCAGGTTGATTTCCTGTAGGCTTAAATTTCTTACATTTGACACTTGCAGTCTTGTATATTCTTATCCCGCCGGTCTTATGCATATTTTTTGTCGCCCTGCATGGTTCACATCTTATTCGCCTAAAACAATGTTGATCGTTAGGCTCGGCGTATCTACTCTGCATCTTATATAGCCTATGCCTATCGTTATTATCACTCGTCTTAGTCGGAAGACCCTCAGTCCTGGCTATCTATGCGCCTTCTGCATAGTATTTGCATTATTTCACTCTCAGAACACAAGGGTGCCATACTCCATTCTAACCTTATTGCCACTCGTATTAAAAATCAATTGAGAATATGTTGCATTCTTGCCAATTATCCTGTTGATTAGAGAATCTTCTGCATACTTTACCACACATCCCTATCAGCCCTTGGCTTCGACTTGAGTGCATGTTTAGTCTAATGGCTATGGCCTCCAATAAGGGCGAAGATAAGGATGTCTGGTCCAACATACTTGTTCTATGCCGTCAACAAACACTGCAGCCAAAATAAAGGCAACCTCATCCTGGTCGTCATAGTAGCAAACGTTTCGAGTTTATATTTAGGTCTTTGGAATAATGATGTTGAAATTTAAATGTAGGTAGCTTACTGGGGAATACATGACATCGATTGCAATTGCAAACAAATATTTGCCGTAAACGTGAGTTGAGGAAGGCCTGGCTTGCCTGCTTGTCGCGTCTGTCCTGTGACCCCCTGACGTCCATGTCCGTGTAGTGGAGTGGTAATATCGCCACGATACTCATGACCCGATATCGAATCTTGCTGTGGGGGATGATGCGGCCTAAGCGAGGCCAAAGCTGTAGTCCACCCTTAATTGGATCATTCTTTGCAAAGCGAGGCTAAGTAAAATTCATTGGCGTCGTGAGGCTTACTCGTCTCATTTTGGAAAACTCAGCTACATTAAATGACTAATTTCTTATAAAATAATGTGAAATGCTGCCTTCATTCACCAGAAACTCATGTCTGGTTTGAAAAGCGAGTTTATTAGGACTACTTGCTACGACACTGATGCTACGACTCAGTATACAAAACATAATAATTTACTACTATCTACTAGATTCTTCAAGGAAAATGCAATAATTGAATAATAAGATATAAATACTCGTATTCATTCTTTAGATATTTTCTTCACAGGCTAATATAGTAGGTAATTTCCTTATGTTTATAATTTTTTTCAGGCCAGAAGATAAAGTTGATTCGTGAAGAGACTGGCGCACTGATCACCACTCCTGGGGAGCATGAAGATCATGTATTCATTGTTGAAGCCCCGCCCGAGATCGCCATGTATGTCGCCCAACATCTTGCCATGCGAGCTCAAGAGATCACACAGAGCAAACTGGCAGCTTGTGAGCGTCGTCGTGGTTCAGCCGGCTCCACGCCTGGCGGTGGAATGCCAAATAACGGGCCCGGCAACGGAGCCAGCAGTGCTGCTGGCTCAGGCGCGCCTAGCCCCCCTGGAACTGGTAGTCCTGTGACCATGGCAACTTTTGGTCAATCTGGCGCCTCGTCCATCGTCTCACTGGGTCTGGGTTCGGCGGCCGGGCTTAACGGGCCCTCTCCTATACCTGGCATCACGGCATCCCTCATGCAGGGAAACTCTGTTAATAGCGGTATGGTGAACGGCGCTGGTCTGGGTCACACCATCTCACCCATTCTAGAGGCTTCCTTATCCTTACAGCCACCCTGCTCCAGCTCCCTGTTGTCACCAGGCTCTTTGCTGAACGGACTGTCCAGCCTGTCTGCAACTCACGGTGTGACTTCTACCGGGGGATTGGGAATAGGAGGCACATGTGGGGGGGGAGGCATTGGCCTTGGGTCTGGTACTTCATCCCATTCTCTTGGGGGCCCAGGTACGTCTAATTCAGGCAGTCTTAGCAGCACTGGTTGTGCTGGTACAGGCAGCAGCTTGGGTAGTTCTGGAAGCGGTGGAGGGAGCAATGGCAACGGTATTGGCGGCAATGGCTGTAGTGGTAATGGGGGTGGCGGTTGTGGTGGCGGTGGTGGGAATGGTGGTGGTGGTGGCGGTGGCGGAGGTGGTGGCCGAGTGTTACTTGCTCGAGGTCGAATATCAGTTCCACAGGACTTAGTCGGCAAAATTATTGGCACCCAAGGTTCCATCATCACGACAATCCAAAAAGACACTGGAACGGAGATCAAAAGCCCCCCAAAAGAGGCTGCTCGTGGACCAAATGCAACAGCTGACTTTGAGATCTCAGCCTATCAGGTCAGTCCCTTAATAATGTACTACCTTCCCACACTCCTCCTTTCAGAGGGTCTCTTTTTAGACAAGCTGAATTCTCTCACTCCATGTCATTCTCTAGTTCCATGGCCTATCAATCAGATTCAGCAGATCATCATGATTAATATTACATACCTGACTGATCCCATATGGATGCTTGCTCGCTTGATTTAAATAGATAAATAAGTCTCATCTGTGTATTTGTCTTAACTGTTTACTCTTTCGCACAACTTTCTCAACTATCTGCTCAGGCGCTCGGCTTGAACTCTAATCAGGCAGCTGAGTGCCGTGTGCAACAAGCCAAACAACTGATTGGTCATCTAGTGATGCGTCAGCTGGAGAGGCGCGCCAGCGAAGACACCATTGAAGATTCAGGTTTATTGGCA